AGGGTTTTTGAGCTGTTGACTACCTTCAGCTGCCTAACCCTTACTACAGTTCCTGCCAGGCTTGATTGAGAATCATAAACTCATAAATTATTTTTGGCTGAGCTGGCCAATTTTATTTTCTAACATGTTGCATAATCCCCCTCCCCTCCTTTCAATTGCAGAGGTATTTTTATAGAAGGCCTTTCCTGTGTATTGGATGGAGTATTTGGTACTGGAAACGGATCTACTTCTTCTAGTCCTAACATTGGAGTCTTGGGAATTACAAAGGTACCAGATAGATGCACACAAGCGAGTGCCATGCTTTTAGCAGCACTCTTGAGATTAATCACAATGGAGGTTCCCACACAAGTGTTTTTGAAGAGAGGAGCTCAAGAGCAGAGTAGGATTAAAACTGGAGTGCAGTCTAATTGCTGGAAAAATATTTGAGAAAGGCATTCCTCTTTCGGTAAATTTTGATGAACCATCTCTGCTTACAGTCCAAGTAAAACTGTGCCATCCATTCAGAGCATGTTTTTGAGTCGAGTGGAGATTGCAATAGGATGCTTATTCTAGCAATGTTAAGTGAAGTGGTACACAACTGCGAAAATGCTTGTAAATGAGTTGTCCTGTCCTTTTTGGTGTTGTGTATCCAGGAATGTCTTCAGGCCTAATAAATAAAAACGAATCAGTACAAAAAATTCTTAAATAATAGCCCTAAAAGCTAACCTCACTTCAAATAGTTCATCAAGATTCACTGAAAGAGGAATGCTCTTTAAAAACATTTTCCCTGCAATTATACTGTGCCCTCCCTTGTTGTGTATGTGCCTTCAAGTCACCTGTTGACTTACAGTGACCCCATGCATTTCATAGGGTTTTCTTAGACAAGGAAGACCCAAAGGTTCCTCCCTCTCAAATATAACCTATAATACTGGCTATTCCTTGATGGTCTCCCATCCAAATACTACTTGCCACTTTAATTCACCTCTGCTCTTGAACAATCCCTTCTTCTATTCTGCTGTTGTGAGACTGAATCTGTTTTAAATTGTAAACACTCCCCCAAACACACTTTGTATGTGGTGGGGCAAGCATACATTTAAAGACCCAGGTCTGCATAGTTAAGCAAAGTGTGGTGCTTAATCACTTGTTCTTCACAATTATGTTTGAAACTCTAAATGCAAACACTGCCATCTATTGGATCCATGTCTTTAAACTTTTAAGGGGGAAAATATTTAAAGAATATGTTGTTGGCCTCTATTTTTCATGGCCTAATTTTACATTCAGTTAGGGAATACATACGTATATATGCACCCCTCAAATCCTAAAGGCTGATATAGCCTTTTTTTCATACAGCAGTACATTAAAAACTAAAAAGAGATGGAAAGAGAGAAAAAGAAAAGGAAGCTATCCAGAATGCATCAGAATTAAAATCCTAATTTCTGCCCCAGCTAAATACACGGCCACTCCTAGATACTAAAAATCAGTTATTACAAAAAAAGTTATGAGTGTACATTTGTTTGTTGGAAAGCAGTGACAGAAAAGAAGTTAAATAGGCTGTTGTACTATGTCATGATCTCTGTATATAAGACCTTTCTCAACTGGCTGAAATGGTGCAGGTTTTAGACAGTATACTTTTCTATATGTAACTTGGCACATTAATTTTGTTGTGTATCTTTAAGTTGTTTTTTTGGTTTATGGTATCCATAAGGCAAATGCAGTTTTCGCAGCAAGATTTGCTCAAAATGGGTTTGCCATTGCCTTGTTCATAGATTTAATTATTTTTAAACCAGAGTTTTAAGTGTTTTGGTGGGAATTGATGGAGGAGAAAAATGTTATCCAGTCATTTGTAGATTTTTTAAAGATAAATGCCTATTTACTGTAATGTAGTTAATGAAATAGGAGCAAAATCATTTTTACTAACATATTTTTTTCTATCTTGATAGCTGTCTTTAATCTGCCAGTGCAGGCTTCCTTGTACTTGATCTTTCCCAGCTAATAGATAAAAACTAAAACAATAAAGTAAGGAAGAGTATTGTGAAAGAGGCGTTGCCCACACGGACTGATTGTCACATGAACTCTGATGTTTCTGCATGAAACTTGCCAGCCCAAAACCTTTTTGAGAACTTGATTGGTGCTTCTCCTGGGAACCTTTGTTAGAGTTAAAGCATCCTATTGTTCAGTTATGCTCTTCAAAGAGTGTAGCCTCAAGCAATGGACATTACTCTGCTTTATTCTGGAATTTTTACATTCTGTTATGTAATGGTATAACAATAATCTTTTTCAACAAAAATTCCCTTAAGCCAGAATTTAAATGCCACATCTCAAATTCAGCAGAGGTTTAGGCATCAAGTGGTTTGATTTTAATCAACTTGTCTCAGTTGAGTCCTGGGACCATAATTGAAATGTAGCTCCTGTGATCATATGATAAATGTGACCATATGAATTTGGCCCAGAGAGATTTTTTTTAAGATATCATACTTCATAGTTTTAGCACATTGTCACAAACAGCATGTTGAAACATCCAAAAGTGTTTTTATTTATACTTCTCACTTTTGTGCTTTGTAGGTTGGGAGTCGACGAGTTATTCAGTACGGGGCAGCTCTCATGCTATTGCTGGGAATGGTTGGAAAGTTCAGCGCTCTGTTTGCATCCCTCCCTGATCCGGTGCTTGGAGCGCTGTTCTGTACTCTTTTTGGTATGTAGTTTTTCTCCACATACATTGTGCAATTGATTAAATTCAGAAAAGATGTAAAGGCACTTTGACTCCCTCCCAGAGGAAAAAGGACTTTGGGTTTTAAAGAAATCAAATGCAGAGATGTCCACCATCCAACAGGCTGTTAGCAATGAGAAGGGAGGTTTGGGGCTTTAGAAAAGTAGAAACTAGCAAGGTTTTGTTGACCAAATTTCAGGGGAAAAAAACAGTTTCCAGTGCATCATTAATTTTGTGCATTAGTTTCATTTGATGAAAAAATGAAACTTTCAAAAGCTTAATTGAATGGCTCTTAAGATTGATGAAGTGGTTGTCTCTGAAGCAGGTTTTGGAAATATCAAATTATGCAGAAAAACAATGGGTTTCATATCAAATGTAGGTGTAAAAGCACATATGGGCACATATGAAATGTTGCTTGTCTTTACGTCTGCATTGGAGCAATACAATTTTTAAAAGATACTGCTTAATGCAAAGAAATATTTTCTGATCTTTTTGTAGCAATTACCAAAATTAGGAAAGCTTTTGGAACTTTAAGATGTGCTATATTAAGTTTTCAGTGCTCCAATGTAAACATAACTGTAGCTTCATCCCACATTTTTCATGTGCCAGAATGCAGAATAGGTCATACTATGATGTGGGTGCTATTCGGAGAGGAAAACCTTATGTAAAACATTAGTCTTTGAATTATCGCAGTATATATTTAAGCATCATTCCATGGACAGTTGTTCTTAGTGTCTTCAAAAGTTTATATTGACTTTTTCATGGATGGCTTTTCTTTTCTTTTAGGAATGATTACGGCAGTTGGGCTTTCTAACTTACAATTCATAGATTTAAATTCTTCCCGCAACCTTTTTGTCCTGGGATTTTCCATTTTCTTTGGGTTAGTCCTTCCAAGTTATCTCCGACAAAATCCACTTGTTACAGGTATGATTTCCTCCCACCCCCCCACCCCCCTTATCCTACTCTGTTTATTAAATATGTTCATGCTGAAACAATTGATTTGAAATAGAATATGTACTGTGCAACATGTGTTCATCCACGTGGGAATGAGTCTTGCAGAGATATCAATCTGGGCTTAGTCAACAAGGACTGAGATTGTTAATTGGTCAGATGGCGTGATTAATCAGTTAAGCTTTGGCTGCACACTAAGGTTGGGCTTGCCAGTACTTGGGGATCTCTTGTTAAAAACACACCAAAGCGAGCATTAAAATAGTTTTGCACTCAGTACTTTTTTCGAGTTCTAAATGCTAAAGGACAGAGAGCATATTCTATCCTTTAGAAGCCACATGATTTATCCTGAGACACACTATTTTTGTTCTTGTTCTCTGTTGTTCATATGATGGCTAAAGGTTTTTCCTTGCTAGCTCTTCTGTTTAAGTGGAGATACAGTGGACTGAATATGTAACTTGTGAGCCCCATTTGGGAGAATAGTAGGATATAAATCCAATCAAGCAATAAATTCATTGGGCATTCAAAGCCATGTGCTACAGCAATGAACTTTGGTCCCCATGTGGTCCATAAAACTATGTGAAAAATAGTTTTGTGCAGACTGCTACCAAAATCTGCAAGTCATCTGGGGAGAACTTGACTGCGTCATAGACTTCTGTACAATGTGTCCAGGTGCGATGGAATGGGAACATCAGTCAGGTGCTTGCTGAAATTCTAATGCATCAACATGACAGCTCTTCCTTTTTAAAAATCTGACTCTCTTTCACCTCGCTCTCCTTTTCTTGTAGGAATAGCCAGCATCGATCAAGTACTGAATGTTCTTCTCACTACAGCCATGTTTGTTGGGGGCTGTGTAGCCTTTATTTTAGACAACACAATCCCAGGTCAGTCATACCACATGCTACCCTTGCCTCCTCTTGCCCTGCCCTCTTCCTCCCAAAGACAATGAAACACTGAAAGCAAAACTTCCACCATGACCACAAATTAACACAGGGCACGCTCCCTCCCCCAGGATGTGTGCGTCACTGAAATGGAAGGGAGCGTAAAATAGGAGCATGACATGGAAAGGAGTGTGTCTCATTGGCATGGAAGGGAGCGTTCCATTCACTTTATTAGTAGACTTCATACAGCAGGAGCTCCATCATCTGGTTGATGATGCCCCGTACCCTCATCCTCACTGCACTGAGTCTAATTGCTTCTCTTCTTATTGTTGTTCTTGTTATGTAGCTTCATGTCATTTCTGATTTATGGCAATGCTAAGGTGAACCTATCATGAGGCTTTCTTTGCAACATTTATTCAGAGGGGTTTGCTATTACCTTCCTCAAGCTGAGAGAGTGTAACTTACTCAAGGTCACTCAGTGTTCATGGCCAAGAGGGATTTGAACCTTGGTCTTCGAGATTTGCAGTCTAATACACTAATCATTATGCTACACTCCCTGTCTATGTTTACCTTAGCAGAAGCCAAATTCTGCTGCCTAGTGTGATTGGAACAGCTTTTTTGCTGGGTCATAAGACTTGCTTAGGTTAAATTAATTAAATCTCTATATAGAATCATAGAATCATAGAGTTGGAAGAGACCACAAGGGCCATCCAGTCCAACCCCCTGCCATGCAGGAACTCAGCATAGCTTAACCACAGGCCAACTTTCAGTGATTACCTTAAAAGTTTGATGTGTTCATAATTTCCATAAGTCATATGAAATATTCGGTATAGTTTTATGTTCTCACCAGATAACATTAAAGTAGTAAATCCAGCTTCCTTCTGGTGCCCTTGTGGAATTCACTTCAGCTGATTATTGCAACACAGTCCTGAACAAGTCAGTCTTGTGGGAATTGCTCCCCTCCAAAATGTAATGAGGATTGCCTTTGAATTGGGGGGAAAATATATGAAAATAATCCTTTTTTGAAGGTTGAGACCCAAAGTTTCATGATGTTTTTCTGAACAACTGAGCAATTGTGACACAGTATCTCATGTTAGATCACAAAATCAGGGAGAACGTCATAACCAGGAATCAGTATTTTACAGAAAGCATCAAGCTGATCTGTCTGCTTATAGCTGCTTATTCTTTATGGCGAAAAAGTGTTCCCTTCTGTAGTTTATGACATGTATTCCCCAAGCATACACCAAAGTTTGACCCACCTGCCCCTGGCCACACAATGAGCTGACTGTGTCAAAGGGGGGATTTTTGTGAATATAGTTGTACATATATACACACTGTATGTGTTGAAACCACTGCATCATTCTGTATGCTCACCCAATGATGCCACAGTTCAAATGTCCTGCTCCATTTTGAGATGAGGAAGCAGGGCCAAGATGATCCCATCTCACTTGGCATCCTGTCTGCTTAATGAAAATGTGAAGGAAACTCTGAAAGAGGCCTCTATTGCTAACATTCATATCTTAATATGATCCTTTCCTTGCTCCTTTTAAAATCCAGGAAGCCCTGAGGAAAGAGGAATCCGGAAATGGAAGAAAGGAGTGGGCAAAGGCAGCAAGGCCATTGATGGCATGGAAACATACGACTTGCCTTTTGGCATGGAGGTGGTGAAAAAGTACAAATGTTTCACTTTCTTACCCATCAGCCCCACCTTCATGGGCTACACATGGAAAGGCTTCAGGAAAAGCAGCAACTGCCGAAGTTCAGAAGAAGACTCTGAAGCTACCGTATAGCCCTGGCCAAAACCTGCATCTAGTAGCTCTTCATTAACAGACACATCTGCAGTTCCTTGCTATCTTATCTTATTTTATTTTGTATATCTGCATTTTTATTCTGGAACCAGAGCCGAGACATATTATTAAAAAAATAGCTTTCCTATTGTGGATGGTGATTGCTATCTATAAGGTCTCTCCTTAGTTACATTATATTTTTGGTTGGGTTTTTTTACAAAACAGTTGCAATTGTTTTTCCTGATTTTTGGCACTGCTGCTGTTCTGCTGAAAATGAAAACCCAGATCCCACTGGTAAACTGCATGTGTGAAGGCGCAGAACTCAAACAAGCCGTAGCTTCTAGTTTCCTTCTTCCAGCTGATACATTCCAGGTTTTGTTTGTTTGTTTGTTTCTCTGTCTGTCTGTCTGTTTGGGGTTAATCTCTTATAAACTTGATGTCACTTGTTATGGTTCTGGCAGATTAGAGGAGAACTTCCCACACCAGACAGAGCTTTCACAGAGTTCTCCAGCATCCGACATGGAACGGATGTCGTGACTAGGGTTGATTTTGCACAAGAAGTGAAATGGGGCTGGAGCACTTAGAGATGGCCAGAGCAGAGTGGGACAGATATCGCAGCCTTTAGCTGACATGTCCCTGAGCCACAACATGTATTGTCTTGTTGCACCTGCAAGTTAGTCCATATATATATATATATATATATATATATATATATATATATATATACACATATATATATAGTCATAACAATATTTATTAAGCGCCAATTGATTATTTAAATAAAATGATCAGCTTGTCTCTGTACTTGTGCCAGTTCATTTTCAGACACTTTTGCCAATTCCCAAAGTGACCTATGTTTGGTCATTGCCTTCTTGTTTTCTTCGTTGTCCTTTTTTCTGAGCTGGATGCAGGACCTGTTTAAAAATGGGAGAGAGACTCTATGCATGGCATCCCCTTCCACCAGATGGTTTAACGGGTATTGGAGGCTCCCTGTGGGTGCCATTCAAACTCTTTATTTTTCCCCCTGTACAAGTCTTGGCTCTGGCATTAAGTGGCTGTTGAATCTCATCATGCATCCATAATTATAAGACTTTATTCCTGTTTAATGTTTTCACTATTGCAAGTTAGTTTTTAGATAATGAGTGTTTCCTCCTCCTCTCCTTTTTTTTCTTGTCCCCCTCCTGCCCCTAATGTGGTCCGAAAGGCTTTCTTTTTTTAAAAGCTGTGGAAAGCCTTGTCAGAGAGACATTAGGGGTAAGTGTTCTCTCAAGGCCAGTATGTGCTCTTAAGGTGCTGCTTTTGTGTTTTGTATGTCATTTTGTAAAAAGCAGATACTGTAAATTGCTGGTCAGTTTCTCAAGTCTGGCTACTAGAGAGAGGCACAAAAAACAGCCCTTGTTTGTCTCTGAGGCTATTGAGGATGAGGTGGGAAAGGTGATGGATCAGTATTGAATGGTGAAGAAGACAGACTAACAGTTGATGGATGTTTCTGACGTTTCTACAGCATTTTCCTTGTATTTTTCACCTCGTGATAATCCCCACTTTCTGGAGGGCTTTTGCTGGTTTTTGCAACCTTGGACTCAAACCAGGTACCATGAAAACCACCAAAAACAGTCATCCTTTTTTAAAAAAGGAATGCATCAGGGCTGATACTCAGCCACTACAGAAGCCCTGTGCCTTTGAGGAATATAGGACACTAAGGCTGCAGTCCTGTGCAACCTTTCCTGGAAAGTAAGTCCCATTGAATTCAGTGGGGTATACATCTGAGCAAAAAGGCAGAGGATTGAACTGTAAAGCTGCATCCCTAGGCACGCTTCTCTGGGATTAAACCCCTTTGAACAAAGCAAGACTTCTCTCTGAGTAAGCTTGCAAAAGGATGGGGCTGCCTGCATGTTCCCCACCTAGTATTTTATGTGGAACCAAAGAAAAGGCAGATGGAAAGTAACACATCCATGTATGAATGGCAGTGGTAATGATAAGGAATGCCAAAGCCCATTTGTTCTGCACACATTAGAGATGCAAGAGTTGCGTGTTCATATAATACTGACAGAGTTTTACACGTTCTTGTTTTGTTCATGGTCAGCCTTTTTATTTTCCCCTTTTCTTATGCTAAAGTGCCAGTTACTTGTTAAAGCAGAATTGAAATGTCAGTAAATCTGATGCACTACTACAGTCTTTGCCCTCTTGAACACTTCCCCTGTTTCCTTCAGTAGGCTTAAACAAAAGTGGATTGTGCTCAGCACAGTAACCAAGAAATGTGACAGGCCACACTGCTTTTAAGACACATGCGTCTTGAGCACCTTATAGTTAGTGGTGACATCTATGAGAACATAAAACCCTGGGTGTCCAGCTTGATTCCCCTTTATTGCACAACTTTTTTTCCAGGTGGAATGAATCTAGGGGATGCTTCATACATCACACAGAAGTGAGACAAAAGAAAATGTTCATTTGATGTGCTTATCTAGTCTCACCTCTGCTGTAATGTGTGCTCAGGTGAGAAGTCTTGTTTTCATGAGCTCCTTCATCATTGCACATAAAATGGCAAAAGATGTAAAAATGGTTCCGTAGGATCTTGGCTAACTTGGAAGTCTTTCTCTGGCATCATCTGTGTTAGGCTAATTACAGATAGCTGAGATTTGTTGGATGAAATGTTTGCTGGAGGTTTGCAGCGTTTACAAAACACAGTCTGGTTTACCAAATGCTTCCGGCACAAAAACCCTGAGGAAAATAAGTTAACTTTGCCTTTCCAGGTGGCAAAAACCAAGGCTTTGTATTGTGTGGAAGCAGCCACAAGAGGGTATTCTCTCTTTTCTTAGGGTAAGGCTTTAATAGCCTGCATGCTTAGTTGTAGGTCTGAGAACGCTTGAACATGAGCCATTTCTGCAGTTGTGGTATAAATATCCTGAAAGACGCTTCTTTATCTTGGGAAAAGAGAATGCTTTTATTTACTTTTTGGTGTTTATGTGTGTGCAAAGATTGCAAACTGTGTGACTGTTAGGAACAGCCCATCTCCTGCAGCAAAGCAGAAGAGGAGGATTTGGTTTTCATTTTCAGAGGGGCAATAAGAGCGACATGTTTGTTCTGCTCAAGCGCCATGAAAAATAAGAGCACAGTACTACTCTTGCATAGCTTCTTTTCATTTCAAGGTCTTGAATAGTAAATTTCTAGGAAAATGAATTTCTGTATTCATTTGTTGGAAGAGTCTAATGCAGTTCGAGCACCAAAACATCAGGCCCTGGTGCTTGTTGTTTGTGAAAGAGAATTTAGCAAACTCCTTTTTCCAGGTATCATCTAAATGCTGTGAATCTTAATTATGGTGCCTGAGGTGAAGGATGGAGGTCTCTTGTGCAATGTATGGACATCAGCTGCTGATGGAGGAGTTTTAAATGTTTATATGCTGTGTTCCAAATGGAAAGCAATATCTTGGAAGAGTGGAGAGCAGAAAGTTTGCACTCTTATGCCCCCTTGCCTGTGAGTAACCCTGAAATTGGTAAAATTTGCTTTTATATTTAGATGTATAGGAGGGTGCTGTTAGATACATGCATCTTAGCCGGAAGAGAGCAAAAACAAGGCTGTGAAGTTTTGAACTTTTCCTTTACCTGTAGCCATGGCTTTCCTATTATCTAAATGAAACAATATGGTCTGGAGAGAACACCTAATAGAAGGGTTGGGTGGGGAAAAAATCACTGACAATTTGCAACTATAAGAAGTAAAAACATGTGACAGATGTCACTGTGTCCTGTCAAAGATATATAAATGTAGGCAAAGCA